CGTTTCTCTAAAGAAACACTGTCCAACAGCGACACCAGCTGTTAAAGTTACAGCGTCTCTCTTGCCTCCCCTGAGCCCATTGAGTTTTAACAGACCCCCTAAAGCGTGTGGTGAGTTTGCTGGGGGGTAATTGAGAATGAATGGGGGAAAGTCACGTGAGAGAAGGCAATGCGATATGATCGGATACAGAGCCGATCCTGGACTTCTGGGGGCCCTACGCAAAACTGTGTCGGCGGGGGGCGGGGGGGATGAATGAAACGCCTTTGTCCGCTTGAGAAATGGTGTCTCTTCCGCGGCTCGCTACACTTTCAACTCGTTTTTTTTTTTGTCTCGAGTAAGACACTGTATGACATTCACGTTACATTATTTGACTGATTTTTACGTAGAAAGGATGACAGCGCACTGCATTAAAAGAAATTACATAAGCGGTTTTCATAACCGCTGGCCACATTCAAAAACGAAACTAAAATGAATCATCTTTGAGAGCAAGGGGGCCCCCTGGTGTTTCATGTTTTGCGTACAGGGAGGATCGGCTCTGCAATTAAGTCATAATAAGGGGTGCAACAGATTAACAAGGGGGCCCCCTGGTGTTTCGGGGCCCCTACGCAGCTTGCGTACTTTGCGTATAGGGAGGATCGGCTCTGATCGGATATGACTGGTTATGTTCAGCTGTGATTGGTTCATGTGGTAAATACCGCCTCCCGCATTCGCGAATCAGTCTGAATGAACAATATAATGGCGTTAATGGGAAGACTAATAAAAAAAAAGTAAGTAAACAACTCACACACTTGAGAAAACATGATCTTTGAGAGTTTTTACTGAGTAATCGGCTTGGTGAAATTTAAAGTAAATCTCAGCATCTGTGACCAATATTTACCAAGCTTTGATGACTGATGATCCGAAACATTAAAAAACTTAACTATTAAAAAGAATAGCTGAACATAAGTTCACAAATAAAATATATTGTTTAAATTGTTACTGCCTTGAGTTATTATTTTGGAATAAATGTAAAATGCTTAAAAACACTAACTTGATGAGAGTCATGCTTGGCTAAATAAATAGAATATTGATTACATTGTTAATGTTATATTGTTTTTTTGTTTGTTTCTGATAGTGTAAGTAATGTTTATTTAACCAAGAAAATGTGACTGGTTCATGAATTTATATTTGATTAAAAAAAAACAAAAAAACTTTGAGGACTCCTCATTTTAGAACAACTCTAGAAGTCAAATTCTATTTCCTGTTACTCATTTTGGAATCTTAGAGGAAAAATTTCACTGTTCGCCCATGTATTCTTGTTTTTACATCTTCACGAAAGATTCTTGACAAATATGGCCTTAGACATTTTATAATTTAAAACAACCTTTTCGGCAGTGGTGCCTAAAATGTAGCCTAGGTGGGCAGCTCGCTATGAGAAGAGAGCAGAAGTCCACAGATCTTGAAGATCCTGGTTGTTTTGGCAGGATGCCGGCACACCTGCTGTGATTGATTGTAGTGTGAATCAGTCGGTGTGAAGTCGAGGAAATTGCACTGTCACCGACACCCTCCTCTGAGCATAATTCTCAATCGAAGAGCTCTCGGCCCACTCACACTCTTCTCCTGCTGAGAGCCTCGATTTTCGAAAACTTCCTGTTTTTCCTCTTTCACTCACTTTCACGTTTTATCGGTTCCTCCGTTTTGTCTCACCGGCTCTTAGATTCTTCCTTGTCTTAAACGATGGTTTTCTTTCTATCAGTAATTTTACAGTACATTACTGCAGTGTTTGACGTATGAGGGGTACATACCAACCACATCTCAGAGAGCCATTGCAGAGTGTTATCAGGTGAAGTTGTTGTAAGGTTTGTTTACATGTATTTGTTTTTATGTTTTTTATTTATTTATTTTATAAATATTAAAGGGTTAGTTAACCCCAAAATGACAATTCTGTCATTAATTACTCACCCTCATGTCGTTTCAAACCCGTAAGACCTTCGTTCATCTTCGGAACACAAATTAAGATATTTTTTAAAGGAATCTGAGAGCTCTCAGACCCTCCATAGACAGCAACACAACTGAAATGTTCACAGGTCCAGAAACGTAGCAAGGACTTCGGTAAAACAGTCCATGTGACATCAGGGGTTCAATTTCAATTTTGCAAAGCTACAAGAAAACTTTTTGTGCGCAAAGAAAACAAAAATGACGACTTTATTCAACAACTCTTCTCCCCCGAGTTACCGCCTTCCGCCATTTTGGAGAGTATCACAACGCATACGCACGCAGCTCAGAGGCGGACAGTAGTGAACTATTTTGACTTTACTCAAGTAAATTAAAAAAGTATCTGTAGTTTATTGTCGGTTAAAGCAGCATGCGGTAAACCTGCGCGGTTTAAATCATCTGGAGCTCACATCTACACAAGACTCTCCAGATGTAGAGCTGAACGGGAAAGTTATCAATGGGTCTGTCCTGTTACTAATGATGAACGCGCAGTTTGCAGAGAAGCATTTCAGTTGCTCACGGTGAACTGTCTGACTTAAAGGGACAGTTCACCCAAAAATAAAAATTTTGTCATCGTTTACACTCCCACAAGTTGTTCCAAACCTGTAATAATTTCTTTCTTCTGTTGAACATAAAAGAAGATACTTCGAAGAATGTGGGTAACCAAACAGTTTTCGTCCCTTATTTTGCCTCACTGAAGTGGTGAGTGATGTCTGTGATGTGTCACATTTGGAGGTGTAAGAAGGTGTGAAATCAAGCAGGGCTGTAATTTTGCTGCTCTAACAGCAGATGTGGCCCATTTGAGGAGATGAGAGTCACAGCAGAGAGCAAACATTCACTCATACACCACTAACACAAGTGCATTAAAACTCCAATATCCTTCTGAACCGGACATATCATTCATTATGACATAACATATATACTAACTCACAAAGGTTTTTTTTTTTTTTATAAATTATTTTATTGAGCAAGGACACAATCAAATATGACAGTAAAGACATTTAAAATGTATAATTCTAGTTTTCTGTTTAAAATATATGCTGTCTTTTGAACTTTATATTTATCAAAGAATATTGAAAAATGTTTCCACAAAATATTAAACTGTTTTTAACATTGATAATAATAAGAACCATAATACACCAATAATAACTGAGCATCAAATCAGCATATTAGAATGAATTCTGAAGGATCACGTGACACTGAAGACTGGAGTAATGATGCTGAAAATTCAGCTTTGATGACAGAATAAATTACATTTTAACATATATTACAATAGAAAACACTTATTTTAAATTGTAATGATTTTTCACAATATTACTGTTTTTTGTTTGTTTGTTTTTTAAGCAGTTCATACTTCGTGAACATAATAAACTTCTTTAAAAACATTAAAAAATCATGTAACCAAACTTTTCACAAGTTCTGTAATGACTGATATTTTATGAATATATGAAAAAAATCTGTGATATTTGATATAGTACAGCAAAATAAGTGTTATTTATTTGATCAAATATAATATGATACGGTATAATGCAAATTTCATATGATGATATGATATGATATGATATGATATGATAGTGTTCTGATATATTACAACAATATTTCATTCCCATATTGCAAATATAAATGTAAATAAATAAATTATGTTTAATGTAAATAAATAATAGATAATTTATAAATAAAAAAAATGGAGAAACCACCGACCTACAACATTCGTATAATATAATAAATCTATTATTCATAAATTAATAAATAAATATGAAAAGTGAGTGAAATGTAGAGAACTCACTATATTATTTGGAAATATAATATAATATGATATATTTGATATTTTGTAAATACATGACACAAAGGTGTGATATGTGATACAATATTTGATATAATACAGCACAATATGTGTTATTTATTTGATATAATATATAATACAGAATAATGCGAATTTCATTTGATATGATATGATAGTGTTCTGATATATTACAACAATATTTCATTCCCATATTGCAAATATAAATGTAAATAAATAAATTATGTTTAATGTAAGTAAATAATAGATCATTTATAAATCAAACGGAGAAACAACCAACCTACAACATTCATGTATGTATATATATATATATATATATATAATAAATCTATTATTCATAAATTAATAAATAAATATGAAAAGTGAGCGAAATGTAGAGAACTCACTATATTATTTGGAAATATAATAATATAATATCATATTTTTATATTTTGTAAATACATGACACAAAGGTGTGATATGTGATACAATATTTGATATAATACAGCACAATATGTGTTATTTATTTGATATAATATATAATACAGAATAATGCAAATTTAATTTGAAATGATATGATATATGATATGTTAGTGTTCTTATATTGCAACATTTCATGTCCCATATTACATAATTCAGTAAAGCAATACAGTTATAACATAAGATATGTCATGATATATAATTCACTGTTGCAATATATGATGCAATCTGAAACACTACAGTACGATACAATATTATGATCTGTGATGGGATATGTTATGATATATTATGGGGTACATAACAACAAAATATGATTTGCTACACTGTTTTGTTCCATTTATATATAGATATAGACAAAACAATGCAAAATATTACAGTTCTGGCTGGAATTCTGAGCTCAAGTTTGAAGGCGTTGTGAAATGCATGCAAACATGTGGCCACAAATTCTATATTAATATTTAATAGTTTTTGTGTTGCTCGGCAACTGTAAACAGCTCACAGTTAGACACATATCACTTGGCAAAAGAACTATTTTCCAATTATTACTATTAATAAATGTAACTTTATTGAACATTCTTCCTTTTTGTCGTATTGCTGTTGTTGCTATTTTCTGAAAACAATAATCCACTTTATTGCTTTAATAAGATATGCTATGATGTTACAATATAGGAAATTAGGAGATACAATATGATAAAATGCAGTAATAAAAATACAGGACTTTCAAATGAAAGGCATTAAGATTTCATGTCTGTTCTTTCCTCTCCAGTCTCATGGCCTCCAGACGATACTACTTTGAGATTCTCCACAAGCAGGACGACAAAGGCTCGGATCACGTTGAAGTCGGGGTGAGTTTGAATCTGCTCAACTCAAGCTCAGAGATTCAGAGATGACTTTTAATGTGCTCCAGACCACACAGCGCTTCCCAATTCAGCTTCTGTTGATCCCGTCTAAACATGCACAATCACCAATCCTTCACTATCCATTATCTGCAGCGCCAAAACAGCTGTTATTGTCCACTTTGATAATCGCTATTATACCAGTCCTTTCAGTCCACGGGCTATTCTGACGATTGAGAATACAGGCTAAAGAAACTGAATGGTCATATCTGCTTTCACTCACAGCTTTGATAACAGTCCATTCAGTCAGCCTTAGAGAGCCAAAAACCTCGGAAAGCCTCACGTTTGGGTTTTTAAGAGTGGGTGACCAGGTCATTTCATTTCAATTCAATCAATCTATCTATCTATCTATCTATCTATCTATCTATCTATCTATCTATCTATCTATAATCTGACAATATCTATCCATCCATCCATCCATCTATCCATCTATCTATCTATTTATAATCTGACAATAACTATCTATCCATCCATCCATCCATCCATCCATCTATCTATCTATCTATACTCTGACAATATCTATCTATCTATCAATCCATCCATCCATCCATCCATCCATCCATC